ATTCTATTCTATTCTATTCTATTCTATTCTATTCTATTCTATTCTATTCTATTCTATTCTATTCTATTCTACTCTGTTCTACTCTACTCTACTCTACTCTACTCTACTCTACTCTATTCTACTCTTCTTGCTTCTGCTTTGTCGGTTTTTCCACTATTAAACCAATATAGGTGGGACAAAAACCTGGGATAAAAAATCCTGACAAGATTTTATAGTTGATGTGGGGCTTGATTGGTTTAGACTGGGTAGACTAAGCCATTGTGATTTGTAAAATATGGTTTAGTGTGTTGCAGGAAGGAACTGCAGAAGCCAACTGTGGTTTTATTCAGTAAATCATTGCTACACAAATCACAGCTTAGCAGCATGTGTGAATCCATTCTACAGTCAGTCCACAAATGGGTTGTTTTGAGGATATTTTCCTTTAAATGATTTCAATAAACACAAGCCTATCTTAGCAAAAGACACTGGTACTGTAGCCTTAAAAGAGAAATGAACCTCATGAGAAATATAACCCTAATATCAGGACAGCCATACTGCTATTAGTCTTTAGATAGAAATGTAAAATGTAAAGTTAGAGATGGATCAGAAATGATGGCTACATGCTTGCTCATGAAACCCAAGATCAGTTGCATGGTCAGAAGAGATCAAACCGGACAAGATGGTGGACATAAAATCACAGTACAAGACCCATTCATTGTGCATGTGCTTTCAAAGCCAATGCATGTAGGCAAGGGCTAGGGCTTAGCTCGTGATATTACATTTGCCTTCTAATTCATTTCGAGCTCTAGCCACAGATGTCATTAATAAAAGTGAATATATGTGTCCCAGGATAATGTTGCAGGATCCAATCTGGGTCACTCACCGGGACCAGAGGTTTAGTCATCCGAGCTTTCAGACTCATGATGGAGTCCATCCTCAGGGAACTTCTCTCCAGGAGAATGGAGATTGCTGGAGAGAAGTTCCCTCCAGCATGAGACCTAAAGCTCTGATGACTAAACTTCTGGTCCTCGTGACAATCCATTGTACGCACATGCACAATGAGGAGGTCTTATACTGGGAATGTTTTGTTGCAATCTTGAACCAATTTATTTCAAAACACTTCAGGTTTTGTTTAAACATATATTTATTTTATATATTTTTGCCAAAATCCATTGATCCAAATAAGTGATTTAGGATAGGGGTCTCCAACCTTGGCAATGTTGGTTCAGGAATTCTGGGAGCTGAAGTCCATAAGTCGTAAAGTCACCAAAGTTGGAGATCCCTGCCTTAGGGTGAATAACAAGAAAATATTTCCAAGTTTTAATTTATTTCTATTGTCAGAACATAGGGGCTTATTCTGAAACTGAAATGAAAATTTATCTACTTTGTATATACAGTATACACTAATCTTTTTTTAAAAAAACACTTTTTATTAGAGTTTCACAATAGTAAAAGATAATACAAACATAATAAAAAAGGTAAAAAAGATTCAAAAAATAATATTTAAAGAAGTGACTCCTGATCTTCTTTGAACCAAGTACAGGTAAATCAATAGTTCCTCACTCCCTGTGAGTTTACATACATGATTTATTTATTCCCATTGTGTCCTCTCCTCCTTACACATTCATAGATGCAAAAATCATTGCCATTTCTGTCTAAACATCTGCAAAATGTCTATAAAGGTTTCCAGAATTTTATAAAACATTCCATATTTTAACCCTGATCAAATAATCCAACTTTAAATCCGTTTCTTTTGCTTCTAACAAGATTAATCTCTAGTTCATCAAATGGTCATCATAGGATTGAATCTGTATCCAGATTTTCCTTCTCCCATCTTATTTTAAAAAATTTTAAAAATCTACCAATAAGTACTTGCCTGGGTCTGTTTTCATTTCTTGATTAGTCTTCAACTCTTTTGAAAAGGTAGTACAGGCCTGAATTAGGAAAAATGCCTTTCTTATCCTTTGTGCTTTGTTGCAGATGAAGACCCACACTTACCTACAAAACCTTATGAGCTAAAAAGCCGCATGTTTGTTCCACCTGGAAGTCTAGCCACGAAACTTCGTGGGATTTTAACAGATCGCCTAGCTGTTGCACAGTATCACAATTTTCTGAAGGGTTTCCAGATGCATGACTGCTACATGGAGAATACGCATTTTCATAGATGGAAAGGTGAACAGCACATATGATTTGTAACTATCATTAACATGGTGTTCGGAGTAGACTTTTAAAATGTATTTTTACATGACTGCATTTGGGTTTAAAATGTTAGGTTGGAGGTATACGCTGTCGAGTTTGGGTCCAAATTGGGGTTCAAAATGCATGTCAAAGGCATATCTTCCCAGATTAAAAACTGTTAGTATGATTTTTGTATGATTATTTTCTATATTAGCTCCCTTCCACTGCATTAAGCGAAGTAACTAATGAGTAGCAAATTTTAAAAAGACTTTGGGACCACACCAAAAACTTTGTTGGAATACATAATAATATTACAATGTTATATATCATTTATATATGCTACTTTAGGCTATGATCCAGAAGTGGAGGTCCAGAGTTGCCTCACAGTGAGATGGGCAACAAACATAATAAATAATAATAAGGTTTAAAAATTTAATGGTTTCCCATAACCACTCATGACTGAGTCAAGAGGTCAGTGTTCATCTCTGATGCTCAGCATAGGGAGCATTTTTTAAGAAATGCTTCCATAATCATGTGGCCAGTATGAAAATATAGAATGTGATAAGCTTTTCTGCTACAGTGGTACCTATTTATCTACTCACATTTGCATGTTTTCAATCTGCTTGGTTGGCCAGAGGTGGGGCAAGCAATGGGACCTCACTCAGTTGGCCTGCACTTGGGTGTTGCACCTGGGATGTCAACTTTCTAGCTGACAAGCCCATCATCTTAACCATCAGACAAAGATTTCAGAAAAAAAGAAACAAGTCCAGTTACCATTAGAACATACAAACATACATTCAGAACCTTAATAATTACTGGTTTTATATAAACATAGAGTTCTATTGGCCTCCCATAAATAAATACATTTTAAAAGCAGTGCTGTTTTTCCTTACACCAAACAATATATACTTCAACTACCATTTACTGATATGCTATACTTATTTTACCCAATATTAGTAAAATTAATATAAACAGACAATTTACACACTGCACAATTTCTAGAATAATTTCTGGATTTCCTTATAACTCATGGTCTGGGATTGTTGAATTTAAAATTTAAATTTCAGAATTAAATAGACATACGTTGCTGGGAGGAGCATATTTAACACACAGCAAATCATAAGCTGTATTTTGGTAGACTCAAAAGGATGAGTAAAACTCCTCAAAGAACTTTGAATTTAATGCAATTAAATCACATTATTTCCAGATGTCAAAGCAATGTGTTTCCTTTCCAGCTACTACATTGGATTGTTGTCCCAATCAGCTAACAGAATATGATGATCACCTCGGCCTGGTCGATGCTGGATTTTTCATCAATACAAGTTGCCCACCACTCTTAAGGCTAGAGAGGAAAGTGGATGTCATCCTGCATTTGAGCTACAGTGCAGGTTCACAAACATTGGTAATAGATTTTATTTATTGCTTGATCTCTTAAGTCTGCTATATATGGTAGAAGCTATACAATGCATTTAATAGATATAACAATCTCAGAGAAATTTGTCCACAGGTGTTATATTTTTAATAGTAAAAGAAAAGATTGAGGACATACCTGAAAATATATCATGTTTATGCAATTTTATGTTTGTGTGTTTTGAAAGAATTTCCATAAAGCTCAATGAGTGTGCTTTCAAATGAGAGTAGGATTACACTTTTGAAAGATAAAAACTGGGGGGGGGGGGAGAGTAAATATTAACCCTTTCAGTAAGGGGTGTCCATAGGTGGAGAGAAGTAGCCACAGTAAGAGCCCTGCTCCTTTTATTTACATATGTTACATGTGAGGCACATATAAACAAGGACAAAGGCTTTGATTGCACAATCACAATCTGTGTCACAGTCACAGTCATAGCTACCAACCTGGACATTCCTGCTGCCATTCATGAGAAAACAATCTCCTTGACTGCTATTAGTTGCTTCTCTCTGCTTCTAGTACTATATTATTTATTAATATTTCTCAAATTATACTTCCTCCTGCGGTGAGGGTGGACCCAGCCTGGAGGCCTCTGCAAAACCCTGAAAACATTACTTTGAGAATTCACTTGGGGATCCCATGATGGCATGGAGCCTACTAGAAATTAACTCTCTGGAGTCTCTGTGCAGTTGCTAGCATTTTGTATATCTGTATTCAAATTGATTTCAAACTTATCCAGATTGACTAGTTCTTCTTCTGTTACTTTCTTAATCGTCCATTTACCCATCATTTCTAAAAACTCAAAATTTTCCACAAACTTCCATCAGAAAACCCACTATTTCCATTCTTTTTCCCCCTCATCTTCAACCTCCCTCTAGTATCCAACTTTAAATTCCAGTATCTTGTTTTGACCAAAGAAAGTCCAAATGATTATAATTTCCCACTGGGGGAATATTTCCCATAGTTTAAAATTACAATTCCAAGTCTGTCTGAGCCCTTAATCTATTGTTAATTTTCTAGAATCCATATTCTAAATACTCTTTTGCTGTTAAAATAAATAAAGTAATACTTCTCAAAAACTTTTACAATCATATTTAAAAATCATTTCTCTAAAGAGAAGGCAACTCGCCCAGTCAACACTCTATTACTTGGCATTCCAAAGGGAGTTAATCCTCCTAAAGCAACAAAAATAAAAGCAAGTCCAAAGTGGTGAAGAAGTGAGGCTTGGTCAAGCTTTAGGTCCTTAAAAGTGGCTGGGTTCATGATTATGAGCAGAAATGGATCCTTCCACAGCTCTGAGATTCTCTGCTTGTAAGGTAAAAGTAAAGGAGTCATTGCCTATAGGAGGCAGTACTCATCTCAGTCATATGGCCAGCATGATATCACGGAGCGCTGTTACTTTCCCACCAAAGTGGTACTTGTTTATCTGCTCACATTTGCATGCTTTCAAACTATGAGATTGGCAGGAGCTGGGGCGAGGATGAGAGCTCATTCCACCTTGAGTGTCAAACTTAGGCTACCAGCTTTCCAGCCAACAATCAGTCAAATGTTTATTGTCAACATGTCTCCAATGAAATTGAAATGAGCCTCCTTGGTGCTGGCCCTGCAAGTCTATCATAGAATTCACTGACACCATACTCTCATATATCAAAACATGCATGGATAATGTAACAGTGGACAAGTGCATCAGAGTCTTCAGGAGTTGCAAACCCTGGATGTCAGCAGAGGTACAGACACTTCTGAGAGTTTGGAATTCTGCCTTTAAGGCAAGTGACAGATATAAATACAATGAGGCCAGGGCAAATCTACAGAGAGGCATCAAGATAGCTAAACAAAAATATAAATAAAAGGATGAGAAGTGGGGAACCATCTAGCAGACAACAACCCGAGGCAGGTGTGGCAGGGACTGCAGCATCTAACCAACTATAAGGGCAATATGATGAAGACAGTCAACTCAGATGCCTCATTGGCAGAGGAGTTGAACACCTTCTTCACCCACAATGAGGTCAAGAGACCTGACCCTATAGCTCCAGCCACTGGCACTCTAACTCCCAGCCACTCACCTTGCATGAAGACCAAGTGAGAGCTGTATTGAACAAGCCTAGTGGCTTAACAATTGAACCATTATGCTGCCCCGATCATAAAGTGACCACAAAAACTTCAAAACCTGTGGTTCACTCACAAGAAGCAGCTGTGCAGAGTAGACAAGGGCAAGCTCAAAGATTTCTCCTTAATCCAAAAAGGATTTTGATCATAATCCCAATGTAACACCATCCCACTGCAAAAAGGAGCATCTAATTTGCCATAGCTCTCAACCAGAAATGGTTTTAATATATTTTTGATTATTACTATATATACCATCCAGAGTATCTATGTGAAATGGGTAGCTATACAAATGTGATTAAATAAATAATAAGGAAGTAATATTTTTGTCTAACATATTTCAGCCTTATGTTAAGCAACTGCCTGAAGTGCTTCAGTTCCTAAAGCCCTGATCTCCAGATAGTAGGAACAAATTGGATTATGTGTTTAAATCTCTAAATCAAGATCACAAACATAGTATTAGAAAATAGGCCCATGCTTGAAGAGAGGCTATTTCATAGCAAATTGTCACCTGTATACAAATGTAAGATTATTCAGTCTATGTAAATCCTAAAATCAGATATCGTTGATTTTTATGATTGTATTGTATTGCTACAACTTTTACTTGTTGTCCGTTCTAATACTCAGAAGAGAAAGATTTCACCATGAACTTATTCTGTTGAATTTAATTTCTAATTCTTGGATTTGCAAACTCAAGCTTTTCTGTTAAACTGGTACTATATAATTGATGTTTTATTGTAGTGCAATATAATAATATTCACAATTGTTTGCTTTCATTTCTCATAAAATCTCTTTCTTTGATTTTTATATGAGCATAGCCTCTAGAAGATGCTTGCAAGTACTACAAAGAACAAGGGATCCCTTTTCCAAATGTTGTCTTAACAGATGAAGACAGGAAACACCTGAAAGAATGCTACTATTTCAATCAGTCAGAGGGATCTGGTTGCCCTATCTTGGTTTTCTTTCCATTAGTGAATGATACTTTCCAATATTATAGTGCACCTGGTAAGTTATTGGTAGTAATCGGGCAACTGGCTATGGTTTATTTGGTCATCATCATCAATATTAATTACTTTCCAGATAGTCAAGAAAGAAGCTGCAATTCCTTACCCTGCAAAATTTATCATTGATTAGATTAGGGACATTGTGAAGTGTGGGAGGGGGACACATTTTCTGGTGCTCTTATTCTCATATCTTCTGATACACTTTGACTGGTATCTACCAATATCTCTCTCTTTCTAGCACTGTGGTTCTATGTCTATGGACCAGTCAAATTCAAAAGCCAATAGACAGTGATAAAGGGAAGAGGCCATTATTGAATTTTCTTGTCTGAATTTGAAGCTCTCTCTTTTACCTCAGAAACACAAATCTGAAGAGGCTGAATTCCCCTGAAAAGCTATATCTGAGGCTATATGACGGCAGCCTTTATTTGGCAAAAATAAGATTGTGCCAATGGGTACAGGATCAAATGTGTACTCATTTATATTAAGCTAGATAAGAGTTAAAGAATAAAGTCCAGGTGCTAAAATCTTTTCATAAAATGTATTTTTTCCCTCCTGAAATAAGCTAATAGTAAAAATAACCTTCAATTTGTTGTTATTTATTCAAGGTGAGAGGCGCTCCGAAGCTGATATGGCTGGTGGCAACATTGACGTTTCCACTTGCAAAACCCCATATTCCACTTACTGCCTGAAATATTCAGATGAGGATTTTGACAAGCTTGTGAACCTAAGTGAATACAACATCCTGAATAACCAGCACCTGATTTTTCAAGCTTTGCATGCAGCGATAGAACGGAAGAGGCAGCACTGCTGCAAGAATTAAACTCCTTTCTATATGTCATCATAAATGGATTGTGGTTGTCTTTTTTTTTTCCCTTCTGAAATTAATTACTTTCTACATTAACAAAGCATTATTGTATTTTAAAGACAAACAAGTGTGTCATAGAATGACACAGCATCACCCCAGCCCTGTGGACATTTCTGTCAATATGTCAGTGTTGTAGGTATGTCTCTTTAGATATTCAACTATAATTATGTTCATAAGTGTGAAATGCATTGTATGTTTTGTCCTGACATCCACCCATTACACCATGTGAAATTTTGATATGTTAAGTCTGAAAAGATAGACTTAAGATAGTTATTTGCATCAAGAATGACAGTGGAATGAGTGGTCAGGAGCACTCTGCTGCTCTATGCATGTGCAAAATGGAAAATGTTATGAACCTTGTTACAGTGCAATCCTAAGGCTTCCTCTGAATTAAAAAGTACAGTTTTTTATTTTTTTAACAATATGAGCGCCCAGTAATCAAACTGGAAGTTTGTGGTTAGTGGATAAAGCTATAAGTTATGATAGTCTTTCCACGAAAAGGAAAATCAGTTTAAGGCTAGACAGCATTGAGAATAGTTTGCCTTGCTTGCAAAATAAATAAGTAACCTGTTGCTCCTTGTCCTGACTTCCAGCTGTTCTCCTTTCATTCTGGCTTGATAAAAGAACCCAAATGTACAAGCCCTGATTTAGCAGCATTTTAAAAGAGCAAGGTTTGATACTGTCCTTTATTTCCGCCAACACTTCTTTTTTTACTTTGGAGAAAAAGAAGACAGTGAAGGTGAGTGAAGTTGCAGAGACAGGACAAGTCAGTTACTTAGTGGTTTGGCACCAGAACAGAGGTGCAATTGGCAACTGCTGACCAGATGATATTTTCCAAGGTTTGCAAATATTTAATCAGGCCTTGCTCTGCAATAAGCAGCCTATCTATGTATCATCCGTGTATGTATCTCTGGTTGCTAGGAGTTGAAAATGACTTGATGACACACACAGGTAATAGTCAACTTATCATTACAACTGCAACCAGAATTTCCATTGCTAAGTAAGGCGGTTATTTATCGTGCCCAATTCTACTACCTCTTTTCCCTCAGTAGCAAATCACTACAGTTAAGTGAATTGTGTAGTCATTAAGTTAATCTGCTTCAGGATTCTTTTCTTTCCCTATCATATTAAATGAGTTGATGGATAAACTTAGTTTGGCTCTTCTGCTATGTCCTGTCTGAGATAAGTGATACATTGGTAGAATATGTTTTCAATCTCATCAGAGCGTCACAAGCCCCCCACCCAAGACAAATGGATACCTATGGAGAGTATTATGGTTGGTGCACAGACAGCCAGATGTTTAGACTGGGTTTGCCATTTTTGTCCACCAATCAAGTTCTTCCCAAGGGATTTGTTGCTATCATTATGATTGTCATTAATATTGTAGAAGTTATTGGCATGATTTTGCAATTCTAACACTGATGCTATAATGAACCATATCAGATGCTAGTGTTCCTTGATATTTGTGAACAATTGGGCAATGGGACTCAGGAGCTATAGATGGGCAACAACCAGACATGACAAACATGTCTTTGAAAATTACATGACTTTGAGCTGCTATTATAAACAAGAATCAACAAATCGAGGTAAAGTGAATGTTTGAACATTGGAAAATAATTTATACAATATTTATTCCCAAATATTATTGAATAACAATTAGCAGACTTGAGCAGACCAGAAGTAAAATATTCAGGGACACAGAACTAGAAGAGATTCGGGAAAACTGTGAAAATGGAAGACCCCCAAACAATAGTAGAATAGTAGAAGAATCTCCAATAGTAATAGTTGCAAATATAAAAGAAAAAACTCACATTAACTATAGAAATGATAATTTGGAAGAAATAATAATAAAGCCAGTACAGATTAACACTGAAATAACCAGTAGATTGACCTTTCTATCCCATCCAACAAGAAGAATTAGAAGATTATGGCATATGTAGAATTATGACAAAGGGATAAGCCATAAATGATAAATTATGATTGTTGTAGAGTGGTGGAAGGAAGAGGCTAGAGCCAGAGTGAACAACGAACAGGCTTTATTACAGGGAATAAAGGGTTGCCGCGTCTGCCTTCTAACTAGCAGGTTAGCTGGCGGCAACAGGCTGGCTCTGCTCGACAGCCGGCTTTTATAGCCGACTGTCAAATGGAGCCAGCCAATGGGAGCAGCTGGTGCTCCCGCTTAAACAGCAGACCTGGTTGGGGACTCCAACCAGTTCCAAAGACATAACAATGATTACTGATAAGACACAGACTGACAGCATTGAAAAGACTGCTCCTAAAAGACAAGATAAGAAGGAACAGAAGCAAATAATTTAAAGAATATGAAAGAGCAAAAAACTTATGGTTCAAGACAATCCTCATAAATAATATTGGCTTAGCACCAGAAAAATAAAGAAACTTTAGAAACCATAAAACAACAAATAGTAATATTTAATTGAATTGAATGAGGCAAAATCATCCAGTTTAAGCAAAACCAGTTATTAGAACAAAAGACAATTCTAAATATAGACAGTATACTTATATTCCATTTATACTTTTATTCAAGTATAAATGGAAATAGAAATTCTGATAATGGAAAACAAATGAAAAGAAAACAATCCAGTTATAGTCAAAAAGACTATAATAAAAATGCTAGACGAATAAAGTAATTTAAAGGTGAATTTAGTAAAAATCAAATGGACAAAATAATAATGTAGCAGTAATGATTAAAAATCAAGTGAAAAGGATTAAAAATTGGACTTCTGGCAATCAACAATTGCATGACTTTTGGCTCGAATATCTGATAACTTACATATGACCATAGATAAATAGCTTAATGAAATATTGTATAAATAATATATTGCATAAAATATGCTTCAATGATGGACTTCCGGTTTGAGCTTCTTGGGCAACAGACCGAAACCTCATCTCTCCGAGGCTTTGATCCTTGCTCGCCGCTGGAGTGCCCCGAGCCGTCTGGTTTCAGGGCTAAGCCACCCCGTAGAGATGGTGAAGAGTGGGGAAACTGCCTGCAGGGTTGAGGAGAGCTGCATCTCTCCTCCCCAGCTGGCCATTACTCCCTTTCCCAAAGGCGGTTGTAGCGGTGGTCAGAAATGGCCACCACAAAGAAGAACTCGACCGGAAAAGAATGTGCAGGAGGAAGATAAGAAGAGAAAGTTTTGGTTGACCGGGTCAAACAGCAAAAGCAACAAATAAGGTACCCTGGAATTGAAACTTAACAAATTGTTCCCAAAGAAGATTTTGAAGCTGCGAAGGAGAGAGAGAAGGGAAAGGATTGGGGGTTTTTTCTTCCCTTCCTTATACTGACAGCTAAGAGACTTAAGCAAGAAACTGAAAAAAGAAATCCACTTTGGCATTAATAGGCATCTAAGCTGAAAATAAAAGTCAAAGGGATAAATAAAGATTTCTGGACATTTAAAAGTTTTTAAAAGCTGGAAAGGAGAAAAAAAAGAATAGAAGGGCAGGATCTGGAAAAATGGAGGAGACTGCCTGGAATTAAGGAATGGAACTGTAATTAAAAGGAACTTACAGTGAAATTTTAACAAGATTCCTCAAAGATACATTTTAATGGAAACTTGGTAACAAAATAATAGAACCCCAGGAAGAGAAAGTGGAAAAAAGAAGCAAGTAGAAACAGCCTTGGATTATTTAGATTACTTGGTGATTTTTGGTTTTTGCATCTACATGACTAAAATTAACTGGGTGGTTGTTTAAAAGTTTTTAAAATGGTATCACTCTTAGAAGAACTGAAAACGGAACTTTAAAAATGGAAAGAAGACGCACAAGAAGGGAGAAGTTCTTTTGGCTTCATGTTTCAATTCTTAGAAATGGAGATCTGGAACTATGAGAAGCAACAAGAAACGCTTGCAGAACAAGAAGATTGGGACAAAGAAGAAGCCATCTTTAATGATCAAATAATTTTAAGTGGGGGGGGGAGAAAAGGGGGGAAAGAGAGTGAAAGGTTTAAGATTAGAAAAAACAACCAAAAAGAAGAAGAACAATTTGAAAGATAAGTATAATATTAGAAAGCAACAGAAGAGGGGATTACAGATGAGAGAGTTCAAAATAGAGATTTAATTTAATTGTAAAAGGGATTCTGCAAAGGTACATAAGATAGCTTGTTATATTACAAATAGAAATAACTTTAGAAAGTATGATGATGGATAAAATATTTATTGTAATGCAGTGGGATGTTTGTTAATAAATAAATGAATTAAAATGATTGAGAGAACTAAAAGGGAACATTTTAAATTATTAATGTATTAATTATTAAATCATTAGTAATGATTTATAAAAATATAAGTGAGAAATATGGGGGGAAAAAAGAATTAACTATGGAAAGTTTATAAGTGTTCCCAAGGAAGTATGATATTCAGTTGAAAAGAAATGTTAAAGATGTTAAGATTTTAATGCATATTAATGATAGAATTGAATTGGAATGGAATGTATTTTATTTACATATATATATAATTTTTTCTTTTTAAGAATATAGTGTCTATTTTAAGAATGTACCAAGCAGAATTTGATTGGAAGTTATGTATTACATTGAAGCTTAAATAAGAGCTTGAATGGATAATATTAAAGGATATAAAGGTGTCATACTCTAATTGGTAACTACAGGGAAAAATTTGTTTAATAAGAAAAGATAATGTGAAATTGTAACAGGACAAAGTATAAATATAATGATTTGAATTGAGATAATCAAAACAAAGTTGAGAAAATTATAAGAGGGGAAAAACTATATAGAAAATATAAAATGGTAATAAGATATTGAATAGAATATAAAAATGAGCATGAAATTGAGTTCTGTGTCTGTATGAAGAAGTGATAACCTGGGACCATGCTATTTTCAAAAAAGATGTTTTATTTGTATTTTGTTTTTGTGAAAACTCAAATAAAATTTTCAAAAAAAAAATGCTTCAATGACTGATTCTGATTTGAAAGACCCAGCAAATGGGCCAAGACACCAGGGGTCCCCAAACTTGGCAACTTTAAGACTTGTGGACTTCAACTCCTAGAATTCCTCAGCCAGGGAGTTGAAGTCCACAAGTCTTAAAGTTGCCAAGTTTGGAGACCTCTGCTTGTCTACAATGTTTAAAATACTCAAAGGCATAATAAGACAACATTCAAAATTATTTAGAAGAAAATAGAATAAAAAGGAAAGGAAAGGAAAATCAGTGGTACAAAAATCAACTTTTGATTGCTAACATAATTCTGGAGAATTAGAAAAGCTGAAAAACTAATTTACATATGGTTTGAATCAATTAAAGAAAAAGTGCTTTGATTCATTTCCACATAGTTGGATCATCAAATGTTTGGAAGCAACTGGTGTCAGTAAAAACATTAAAATGCTTATAGAAAAAATAATGGAAGACTTGTAAAAGACATGACTGGTAGTTGGAAATGATACTCTTGTCGTTCTGTTTTGATGATCTTGAAGAAAACAAATCTTGGCTACCAGACAATAAAAAATACTACCAAATATCACATTAGCTTTATGTGGATCATCTGAAGCTTTATGGAAAATTAGAAATAGAAATTCAGTCATTGATAAATGATACCTTTATCAATGATCAATTTTTCATTTAAACCTGACTCTGTTGTTACATCCTCTAACCCCACTCCCTTAACCTCAAACTAACCACTATTGACCTCACCCCATTCCTAAGAGGTCTGTAAGGAGCGTGCATAAGTGCACCATTGTGCCTACCATCCCTGTCCTATTGCCCCATTTATTCATATCTATTTCCTGTATTCTTACTCATGTTTATACTTATATCTATTACCTTGTAAGCGATTGACAAATCAATCAATCAAACAAATAAATAAATAATAAATATAAGAATTTTTAGCACAGATATAAAAGACAAAATTAAATGATGGAAATACCATCAAAATCATCAATACCTGGATCATATCTATATCATCATACACTGCTGCAATTATAAACTGGACATAAGCTGAACTGGATAAACAAGAAAGCTAATAACTACTATCCAGGTCAAACAAACAGTCAAAGAAGAATAGCATACATTGGCTGATTGCATAAAAGACAGTCAAGAAAGCAAGCATTGATGCAATTAAAAAATGGAAACTTACTGTACTTGCAGGAAACAAAATATGAATATTGAAATAATGCAATAAAAATAAGAAGAGAATGCTGGCAAGGAAAAAGATGGTCAATTTCTTCAAAGGATTAAGGGGAAAGTGCATAAAGATAACACCTGGCAATGGCTTACAACAGGAATTTTAAAAGAAATGAAGGCTTGATTTTAGATGTAAAAAAACAAGCTATTTGAAATAATGTGTTCAAGGCTAGAATTGAAAAGTCATTAAACAGTAAATTGTGCAAAGAAACAAAAGAAATGCTAGATCATATACTCAGGTTGTACAAGAAAATTACACAAATTGATTATAAACGGCATAACACAATTGCCAGAATGATTCACTGGAACATCTGTAAAAATTTACATGTACCAGTAATGAAACTTTGATGGGAATACATAGTTGAAAAAAAAACATAAAAATTAGCAGGTTAAAATATTGGGTGATTTCCAAATATAGTATGGTAGAGGCTTGGCTCATAGCACATCAGATGCAACCGTGTTTAAAAGGTGAAAAATTGATGTTGGCAATACCAAAAAATAGTAGAATAGAAGACAAAGAATTGGAGAAGATCAAAAGGTATCCAGATCTGAAATTTGAAGTTGAAAGATCCTGACATAAACCAGTTGTGGTGGTTTTTAGCACTCTGGGTACCAAATATATATATTTTCTAAGTGCTGTCCAAGATATATATATATAT